CACCAAGGGCTTGGTGTCCTGCCAGTTTTAGATGCATCTCTGCTTCAACAACATTTGATTCAAATGGTCCAACTACCTCCTCAGCATGTCATAAAGTTCTGCAGAGGCCTGCTAATGAACCATCATTTGATTTAGGTGTGTTGAACCAGGGAAAGAACTAAAACATGTAGGATGCCGGCCCTTGAGGACTGATTTTGGACACCACTGTCTAATCAGTTTCAGTAGGTGTCAACTCTGAGTCTCCTGACCTCATTCCCTGTTATAATGAGCGCATGCTGTCAACAGCTCACACCTGTGTGAAGGTGTGAGGTGCTGGGAAACAGTCCACTGCCTCGGCTCAGGCACCCATGGACCCATTCGCTTCTAAAAGTTTATAATCTATACCGCTCTATCGGGAAAGGACTTGAATTTGCATGAGGCAGAAATCTAAATAAACAGTCTGATTTGAACGTTTTTTTTTTTGTTACTTTTAGTTTGACCAGCTGAGGACTCACTGACTTTGTTGAGAGAGCATGACTGCCACCCTTTGGGCGACGGTTGTAATAACATGTTTAGTTTTTATTTCACTCCCCATAAAAAGCCAGCACCTGGTACATTAATGGTCTTAATGTGAGGAGTTTCCTCATTACACCCTAACACAGTCAATATCCAACACCTCCATATGTAATCCATCATTAAAAACCACTGCATGTAGTGTTTTGTCTGCATTTACTGTGAAATAACAGCTACTCTCTGATCTTGATGCTTATTATTTTCATAGAATATGTAAATTATTTCAGTCATTTCTCTAAAAAAAAAAAAACAACCTGATTTGGTATTCTTGTGTCATGAAGCTTTTGGGCTTTAATGAGCCCGTTTGTCAGCATGGTTTTGTTTCCTATAATTGCCAACTACAACTCTTCTTATGAAGCTGCTGGCAAGGTCTTTATTTGCCATAACTGCTGTGTAATTGCCTCTAGAATCATTTAGCACTTATGAATATGAAAAAGTGTTTTCTTCTATCTAATTATGTGTACGGTGCATAAATTAGTCTGTGAATTTGCCCTGCATAAGAGCAGAAGATGTTAATATTTGCAAGAAATTAAGCACTTGTTTAACCATACATCATTGCTTATGATAATAAAGTCTATTTACTCATCTAGAGCTTTTATTTCTGACTGTGTAGTTTAGAATACAGTGTTCATAAAAATCAAAACCGTTTTCTCAAAGACTCGGAGTACAATTTTTGTGCCCCAGATTTCTAAAACAATTTACTGTTAGAAAAATTAAAACAATATTTAAACAAAATGGTTGTTTTTCTGGTAGTTCTTTGCACAAACTCAATATAGTTTCGTGACATGTTTTATGCCTTGTTTAGAGTTAGAGACAGAAAACTGTTAGTTGTCTGAAATGGAACAGAGTAACGAAGGCTCTTAGATACTCACAGTGTTGGCAAGGTGTTTAAAATGAAGTAAGAGTTAGCACAGAAACCCAAAATGCTACTTAAAGGAAAACTGTATTTTCTACAATATGTTGAGACATGTCTGTAGTTCTAGCACCAAGAGCAAGAGGGCAGAAGGCCTTCAGCAAATTACAGGAAGGTACAGTGACGTTGCTCTATGTTGCTTTTTCAACTCTACCATTTAACATTCTGGATTTGAAAATGTTAAGGTAATGATCCATATGGTCCATGTGGGTTTTGAAATGCTAGGCTGTTAATAAGAGACACCAAAGTGTCTGGTAGAATACCAACCCTTTCCTTAGGTTTTCGTCATTAAACAATTAAAAGATTTAAAAGTTGGAGATGAAATGCAAATGCGATAAATCTAAAAAGAAACATTCATTTTCAGAGATCTGTGAAAAATATGAGTCTGGAAGGAGGAGTGAGAAGCATAGGATCAATTTACTGAGGCTTAGTGTGAAACTTTCAAAATCAGTAATATTTTGGGGAGCCATGCCGCCTGCCGGTGTTTGTCCACTGAGTTTTGATGGGGTTTATGAAATACTCTAATTATGAGAAACTGATTATTAACTTTAAGCCATAATCATTAAAACAAACAAATATCAGCAAATTTCTTCCTGAGTGTTATGAATGTGGACAGGTAAAACTAGATTTCTGAAATGATGTCAAATTTCAACGATATTATAATTGACGTATTGTTGACAAGAGGAAGCAGTCACTATCTGAGGATCAGTTCTTACTTCCTGGATGTGGCGGTTGGGAATTTACTGACTGCTTTTTACGAGTGAGGTGTCCAATGACAGTCTGATGACTTTTTCTCAGCACTGCATAATCACATGAGCAAGTAAATCCAAAAAAACTGCAAACAACTGTTCAATAAGGCCCAACCCTAAATGAGTCACAGCTGTAAATAAAAATCCAGAAAACAAGATAAGAAATGCAAACTTGTCAATCAGACTTTTCCACTGTAAGGCTAAATAAACAGTTTATCTTCCCGCTTCTGACATCACATCTGCATAAACATTTAGGCCAAATATCCTTGAGAAAGTCAAAAATCAGACAACAATCGAGTGAATTAAGTAACGATAGGCATGGAGAAGCTAGGTGTCGTTTCACTTTCGCCCATGCTCCCTAATCCGTCCTACATGAATAAGAACTTGTTCTGTTGCCACTGTACTGAGAGTCGCTTAGCCAGGTCTCATGAATTCTACACAAAACATAAATATGGTTGGATTTACAGAACATAGTCTGTGACATCAGTGGACTTTTAAAACCTATTTAGTATTTTGAGGAGGTATGTATACCTACATAACACTGCATTGAGTTTGCTAGTATTTACCAGCGTTTTTGTTTAAAAGACACAGAGATACAATGAACTAAAGTCAACACCAGGCATCTAGGAAGTCTGTCTGCAAAACCAGATGTTTCTAACTGGGAAAGATCTTCCTGTTTAGCTAAACTATTAAGATTTATACTCCACTTCATACTTGTCTTCGCATAATGTAAGCAGGAGAACTGGATGTATGTTTAGGGATATTATGCTTCTAGAAAATGAACCTCCACTCCAGTCTCGAGTGTTTCAGGGCCTCGGAAAGGTTTTCTTCCAGGATTGTTTCATAAGGGATTCAGCGTAGTCAAAGAAAGCCTGTCACAATAAGCAATAAACCAATAAATAAACAAATTGCATAATAAATTAAAATTAACTCACTTTCCATTTTGGCTATCAATATTTTTTGAATGGCATTTTGTATACAAAGACATCTTAATCTATTTTATTTCTGGGTTTTGGTTGTGTGTGGTTTTACATATTATGAGTAAAAACATTTGAAAATCATGTATTATTCCAGTTCCACATTGCAAGTATGTGCTGGTTTTGGTCAGTCCATTACATCAAATCCCCAGTAGTATCAAACATAATAATATTTGCAGATGTATTGTGACAAAATGTGAAGCAGTTCAAAAGGTATGAATGTATGCAAGTCATCCAGAGGGAGAGAGAGGCAATGTTTAGAGAATCCTCTCATCTCAGAGCGAGCGTGGCAGGTAGATGCAGGGAGGACGGTGCAGCAGGGTAAATGATGGCCATATTGATCTCCAATGCTCTTTTATAGCCCTGTCATGTCAGTTTAGCACCTTGGCAACATTCGCTTTTAGAGCTACGTCAATACCGAACTCTGGCACTCTGCAGCTGACAGCCAGGGAGAGACGGTTAGAAACAGAGAGAAAAAAGTAAATACCAACCGCCTCTTCAAGGACTCAAACACTTATCAGTCCTGCTCTTAAGAGCAAGGTGAAGATGCAACCACCACAGTAAGCTGAGGAACCGATTGGAAGAGGTGAAATCTTTAACAGTTCAAAGCTCAAATAACAGGAAGCTGCCAACCACAGCCTGATTAAAGCGTCACTCAGACGATTTGAATAGTTTTGCAGAGTAGCTCGACAGTTCTTAAAGACTGGTTCATAAAAACCAACACTGTTGCATCATGAATAAGGGATCAAGATTAACGTTCAATGATGACAATGATGACAGATGTGGAATTGAAAAATGCATTAATGATACTTTCAACTATTTTGGATATACAGGATTCTCCTGCCATTATGGTCCCGAATTTGTTAATTGCTTTTAAAAAACACTCTTGATCAGAAGGCTTTTTGTTCACTGTTCCAGTTCCCAGATGGGAGAAGACCTCACACAAACCTTACATTTTTAAGGTCATAAATAGGCCTACCAGAACACTGGCTAACAGTTGTAGAGACCTAGAACTACTAACTAATGTTAGTTTATGTTAGCATTAGATCTACTAATGCTAACATAATCTTTTATTGCAAACTGATCATCCTGATTCTGGCTATCAACCCTCAATTAAAAATATATTTAAAATTTAGCATGAATATTGCAGTCACTATATTGTAATCCAGGGCATTTATTAATGCCATTTTGCATATTACTATACAAAATTTCAAACTACCTCTAATTTTGATAGTAGTTTCTAAGTGTTTAGGTGTCAAGTTATCTCAAACAACAAGCTTATTTTATCTGGTAAATTAATCATCTGGTCACAATAGCCAAGGTAGTTGAGGCATTTTGCCACAAAATTTGTCCAAAAAAAGGAGTTCTTTGTAGCCATGGTAAAAGAAATTATTTAAAAGATCAGATAATTTCCAGTTTTTCCCCAACATCTAGCTTTAAGAATGAGCAAAAGCAAAGAGTCCCAAATGGATTATCGGTATACACTCAGATGGCATAGATCTGTTGGAAATTGGATTCCTCTTTTAGAGGCTTCAGTTCTGTTTGATGAAGCAGAAAATTAACTTTGTCTGCATTATCTGACAGGCTCCAAGCATTTGATTTCTTCTACACAATATGCTAACATCCATTACTACAACTGTGCATTAATACTCACAGCTTTAATTAGCTGTCTTGAATATGTGTTGATTTATGGGCAATTTTGGGAACATTCAATGCTTATGCTTTGCTTGTACGTATTACACCAACAGCACTAAAGGTAAGGAACATTGGAAAAATAGATGGGGATGAAGAAAAATCTATGTTACAAACCGGTCACAGGAGCAGGCCACCATAACGCACAGCAGATTGTAGATGATGTAGGTGAAGATGACGGCGGTGATGGTGCCACGAGGGATAGAGAAGCTGGGATTCTTCAGGTCACCTGGTGGACAGCACATGTTTAAAGTGTTAAATAAGAAGCGCATCCTGTTCTATTCAAAATATCTACGTATCTGAATGCAAAAACCCAACCTGGTCCTCATCAGTTCCTACAGTTTGGTGGATATAAATTCAGGTGAACAGCAGCACATGGCATAGTTCTGGGAAACGTATTCCATCTTTACCTCAAAAAGAGATTAGATTGCTAACGTAATGAACAGATTACTAGATCAGCAGTGACAGAGTTTACTCACCTGAATAATTCAGGTGTGTTAAGACAATGCCAATCAACAGTTAGTGGTGTAATTTAATTTAATCAGGAAATGGGTTTAAGGGCATTTAACATCTATTTGGAGTCCATAATTCAACAAAGACAAACATAGCTTACAAGAATAAGAGTTTTAAGACATCATCCAACCTCCCAGGAACTTCCCCCCCTTGAGGTCAGGCCATGGAAACCACAAGACGTCCTGAACAATGTCTTTGATGGAGATGTTTGTTCATGGTGAACATCAACATGTTGGAACATAATAGAGGCCTGTGATTTCCATGATGCAGACAATGTGGGGAGAATCCAGCAATTAAAATGGAATCCAGTGTATAATGTGAAGTATTGTACAAGTTATGAATTTAGTCGAGCAACGTCAGGTTTTCCCAAACAAGAAGAGATTTCACCCTTTACAACAACGTTTACAGTGGAAGTGAAACCCTGCTATAACACAGGTCATTAATAATTATGTCGAAAGCAAAGTGTTAGTTTATGAGGCTGGATAAACACTCTGTTAAATGATGTAGAACCACCAGAAAAGCAAACTCTCAGCCCATCATATCACCGCCTCACTCTGCAGAGACCAGCAAAAGTAAAATGAACCTGGACTGAATTTATGGTAACACTTTTTGTGCCAACTCAAACAGTGGCAGAAATAAATACTAATGTGAAAATGATAAAGATAGGTGTATTTGGGGATGCTTACACAGGCAGCTGTGTAAAAACCAGAAAACACAGAAGCAACATCCTGAAAATGAGTAAAGTGGAAAACGTTCTTAATATGTTCCTTAAACACATGTGCTACCTTAACTTTTATAGAAAACACTTATTAAAAAACTGACTGCTATCAAATTTTATTTCGCCCAACGACATTTAAATAGTTTTTCCATTAAATTGTTGAAATTCTTTACATTAAGCTTATGAAGACATATGCATTTCAACCTGTTAAACCTGATATTTAAGGAAAAAATAAGCAGGAAAAACTGGAATGTGGAAAATAAATTGAGACGTGGGAGGAAAAAAATATTATTCCATCCTTATTCATCAGACATAGCGGGGAAGAGGCGGGATTGATTGATTGTCAACATATTCCATAATGTTCTAGAGCCAAACATGAGGCCAACCTCAACTGACTAAGTGATTGTTTTGGCACAGTGACGTGGCTCATTCAATGATGAGACTAATAAGTTAATAATCTGCTTCTGAGTTCAGAAATACTTTGCAAATAAGGGGATAAAAAATATCCAAATATTGTCCATCTTTGATTGGATTCATCTTTGCTTGTCAGTCCGCTAGGATGAAATGGAAATAGCCTTTATTATTAAAGATAATTCTATTAGAAATGAAAGCAGTCTTATTTTGTAGATGACCCATTCCTCCACAGATAATCAGGCTATGACATCACCATGCCTACCTGACATATTAGAGCCTGTCATGATGCCGGTGCAGCCGTTGAACATCACAGCAAATACGGTGGCGAAGGACATCATCTTCCCAGTGGTGTAGTCTTCAACGTAGCCAGCTGGAAGAAGAAATACCAGTAAGTGACTGTAGGTCTGCTTCTATCATCATCATCATCATCATCATCATCATCAGTAAGTTGAACTTGGTTTGATGGCAGAGAAAGCTCTGCAACCCTCTGGATAGGAAACTTAATCTCTGCAAGTCTCTGAACAAGTAACCCTCTTCAAACTTTTCTGTCGAGTACAGCATCAGCAATCAAGTTTTACTGGTAAAAATCTAATTTCACTCCCACAAAAGTTCACACAGGAATATATTCTGTTCTTTCATTCATGTATGAACAAATGTTTTTATATTATTATTCGCTCTGATAAGGTTGAGGTTAGCTCAATGGCTTAGATTTTAACTAATTCAGTCCTTTTGTGTGCATTTTTGATTTATGTTTATATACAAGACCCTTTATCTTACATTTAGCTCATTAGTTCTTTCTATAAAAATACAGGGTTTAAATGAACATGATACATTTTACAATGCTCACTGAAATTATGAAACAGTAATGTGTATGCATTTCTTCTGTAAACAGCTGGTAAAGTGAATCAGGATTATTTTAAATGTGTGTCTGTAGATAGTTTCCATGAGTACAGGCCTGAGTTACAAGCAATTAGCTCAGTAATCATGTGCTTGAAATTAAATCCTCTCAAGCTGACTGTTTGTTTTGTAGGAATAAGAATCCAAAGAACATCATGTCAAACGTGAGTCAAATATGTTGTGATCTTCCAGGAAGTGTAGGCGAAACGCCTTCTGGTCTTTCCTGTCTGGTCTGCCGGGGGAAAACCAGTTCAAATCCTAGAAGCTTAAATGGCTGCCAATAATCATCAGAGTTAACAGGGTTTTAAGCCCATAATGCTCATTATTCCTGCTCTGGTGTACGCATACAGCCGGTGGACAGCAGGCTCAATTTAAAAGAGGAAAACGTTCATTTAATGAACTTAGAAGTTGCACCTTATGAAATAAAGAACGTTGGCCACATTAAAACAAAAATGGCTTTAAAATGTTTTAGAGGATGTCTTTAAGCTTCTGAATCACCAGTCAGGGTTTAATGGTCATATGCACTGCCACCGATCAGATGTCAACATTAGTAAAACTCTATATTTAAACCCACAAATGAGCTGATGGTTTCAGAGCTTATGAAGCTACTGTGTGAACAAACCCTCACTTCCTTTTTCCCTTGTTTCACAAGAACATCTGCTGCCATCATGATGTATAAAAAGAACAGGCTCGATCCAAAACCTTAAGTAATAATTAGAGATGCATCTAAAAATCCAACTGGAAATAGCTGACTTTAGGCTTTACCAATAGGAATCTGCATTTTGTCAGAATAAATAAATAAATAGTCATTAATTCTCAACTTGCCCAGAAAGTGAAAAAAATATTTGAGGAATATTCAAAATTTTCAAAAATTTGTATTAGCAAATAAAAATCATTCATTTTAAAGTGGCCACAAAACAATATACTTGGCAGAAAAAAAAAATCAAGGCTTTCTATTCTAGTCACTCAATCTTACCGTACAGATTTCCCATCAGTGTTTCCAGCTTGAATCCAGTAAAATTAGCCGTGGTGGGATACACAGGGCCCGTCCCGTTGGATGGCTTGAAGGGGCTTGGCAACGTGACCGGTTTAGGTTTCACAACAAAGAAGCTGATGAAGATCATGATCAGAACCGAGATGACCACCAGGAAGATGACGAAAGTGGCCTTGGCGTAGATGTGGGCTCCGACCAGGCATACTATGAGGCACAGCAAGAGGATACCGGTGCCGTACAGCAGGGACCACCAGTAACCTGACGGCAGGACCTGATGTGGACTGGGAGCCACGGTTGGATCTAAAATGAAACATGAGAGGAAATGTAATGACTAGACAGCTTTGATTTGAATAACAAAAGGAATCCCAGATAGTTTCTGCCTCATGTTTTGCTCAGTCTTTCACCTGTGTTAGGGCTGTCGCAAAAAGCAACAAATCAATTAGTTGCATGATACATTAAAACAAACTTAATAATTTCCATATTCATTATTTATCGGTGTTCTCAATTCTTCATCTCTTTCTACCAAAACTGGATGACAACAATCTTCAGTCTGGTGCTTTGGTCTCAACCAGCCCTTTTTTTTTTTGGGAGCACAACTTTGTTTATAGAGACTTCATTATTAAAGTAATAACTTTTAATACTTTGGCAGGACATGGTACAGATAAATGCACAAATCAAGAAATCCTCAATTTACCTTCTGGTATTCCAAAGGTGCCCATTATGGCTTCAACCAGACCCAGCACAAAGAGGGCGCTGCCGCACACATTAGCAAAGAAGAACATGATGCCGATGCTGCCACCAAACTCAGGACCCAGAGCTCGGCTGATCATGTCTGTGCCTCAGGTTAGGGCAAAGTACATGGCATTTAAAACAAATTCATGAACCGATGTGAAATATTTGCAACGTTTGAAAGGGGTAAGCTTGGCTTACCAAATGCACTTAAAATGGGAAAAGCTATTGGTCAACTTTAGCAATAATAGCCAGGTCATAGGGAACCAATTTGTTTTATTTTTCATGAACTGAAGTATAAATTTATTTATCGTATTTTGATGTTTTGCAAAACCTGAATCTGAAATATATTAAAGAAACCTCAGGTAATTCAGAACTTTTATACTAAACCATGCGCTTCCTTCCACTGGTTTTATGCTAAAGCAAATTATAAGTCTAATTTTGACTTTCAGCTTAAAGAAACACTTGAAGATTTCCACCTTGTCATCAAGCAGCTGTAGATGCAAATCTGACTGAAACAAGATGTGTAAATGAACGTTGTTGAAAAGTTGTAAAAGTTGTAAAATGTTGCAAACGGTCCAAACTTAATGCTGGGCAGTGATATCTGACAGTGAGCGTGTCTAAGCATATATGATTTTTGTGTGACTTAAGCAGCAGGGACCGATTATAGACTCAAACTAACTGTGAAAAGCAATCACACTGGTTTGCTACTCAGATACTAGACAAGGACAATATCTGTTTTATTTATTCCAGATTGACACTTTATTTTCAGCTGTAAAGTAATCAAGCTGACTGTCCACAGAGCATTAAAGCAAACCAAAGTTGAAATAAATCTTATTTATACTTTTCCAGTGGTTAGAAATGTAGTGTGTGACAGACGGCACTTGTTTGAAACAGAGACGCTGATTTTCTCTATACCTTGACTGTTGACAGTGATAATGGCGCTACACTGACTGTCACATGCAGACGGTCATATGATGATGCTTGTGTGTGTGTGTGTGTGTGTGAGCAGGATACAATAGGCTCCTCCAGCGTCCAGCGCTCCATTGGTGGAGATTGCGCACACCGACAGAACAGTCATGGAGATGATGAAGTAGGCCACCACAAACATGAGAATAGCTTGGTACAATCCAGCCTGTCCCACCACAAACCCTGGAAAAAAAACACAGGAACAAGTAAATTAAAGTGGCAGATTGGTGCCTGGGTGAAAGCAGAACCATAAACTGGAGCAGAGTGGAAAGAGGCTGACAATGAAAGGATTCCTGGGAAGTGCCAGCATACAGGAGGATGTGGGTTTTTTAAGGCGTCATGAAAGTACAATTATCTAACGTGTCACATGAGATCTACTTGTTCAACAGATGTCCGTCCATGGCTTTTAACTCTAGATGACATTTCAAACAGTTTTCAAAGAATTAAAAAGTGAAAATAAAAAATAAAAATAAAAAATCACAGCCTTCAGTTTAAATGGCTCACCACAACGTTTCACTTTCTGTAAAAATGAAACTGGGATATCACATGCTGGGAGAGATTCCAGCTTCTGCATTGTCTGTATACATTGTGACATTCTGCTGCTCAGCTTAGATGAATCAGCTGAATTAGTTCCAGTGCTCAACTGGCGCTACTGTTTTCTTAGCATCGGCTCTTTGTGTCCATGTCATCTTATGTGACCACATTTGTATTGATTAAAAGTTTAGTTTGACGCTGCTGTTGATCATAGATCTACCTGCAGCAGAAATTAATCTCAGTTTTTTTTTGGAAACCAATGTCATTTTTGGAGAGGTGGAGTCAGTCATGCCGTCTGTTTTAGCTGATTTTAGCTATTTAATCAATTGAAAATGCTGGAGTCAGTAGAATATAGTGCTATGTTAGCTGAAAGCCTGTTCTGTGGGAATTCATACATGTCAAACCAGCTGGTTGTGTCTCTCTACCAGATGGTCTGGTCAGTCTACCTATTGTCTGCGCTTTCCAGGTTTTAAAGTAGCTGGAAAAGTATTTTTAGTCAACTCACAATAAACTGATCCCAAAACCAGCTGATGAGGCAGAATACACTTTGAAATGAAATGTCCAGAATTTATCCAAAACATAAAGAGTTTTAGACTTGAACTGATATTCCAGTTTTCCAGCATTCCTGGTTCTGATCAGAGATTAGCTGTTAGCCATTGTGACGCATTTATAAATACTGCTTGTTGTTTAGAACAGCATCAATAAATGAGACTGGAGATGTTTGCTTTTAGGAATACTGAGATAAATAAAAAAATCAAATAATATAACCACTAATTACTAAATAAGCCATTAACAGTCACAAAAGGCTGTTGTACCAAGGTTACTCTACAGATATGTAAACCTTCTTACACAAACCACAGTGGTGGAAAAACCCAAATACACAGGAAATTGTTCTCATGGAAAGTTCCAAGGAGAGATGATTGATCATCTGTGGCAGAAAGTTCAGATATCAATGATGTTTTTTTAATTTTTAAACGTTGCTTCTTTCAGCCAAATAGGGCTGAAATCGTACCACCATGTTTGCAACGTAGATATATTGTTATCTGGAACATAAAACCAATTTGAAATCTCTTTAGTCTGAAGAACAAGGAGTTAGTGCCTCAACAAAACTAAAAAAAAAAAAATCAATTAGATAAGTTATAGGCTAAAATACCCAAATAATCAGCAGATGTAAATGAACCTAAGACAACCAAGTCTGTCTTGTACTTGTCCAAATTGAAACATTTGTCAAATTTGTCCTACTGATCAATGCTGTGAATCTCATCGAGCTGGACGTCACATCAGTCACTTTGAACTGTGTCGCAAACAAACAAATTATCCACATTAAAGCACCGTTCCTCCATTTATCTTTGATCAGCAACTAGCAGCATATTTCTGCCATCAGTCAGGTCCACTGTGACATAAACCCAAGTCTCACCAGGAAACAGAGTTCACTTTGTTCCTTTAAGGCCTGAAATTTTAAGCTCAATTGAGATAAACTCAACTTGCAATGCATCTGCATGTTCTGGTGGTACATCAAGGTCAGGACAAGAGACACTTTGTCAAACCGTTAAATTTACAGTAGTTTCACATCCACACTGAAACCACTCACAGTTCCTGTGCAGTCTTACTAGAGATTAAAACGTCTAAAGTCCTCAACCAACAGCTACATATGCCCATGTGAGTGTCCATTGCTCAGCAGCTGACAACTCACGAGACTGGGAGGGGAGCTGGGAGGGGGACTGGGAGGACAGGAGATGAGAATACTGAAAGAGAGTTAAAACCTATAGGAAACAAAAAAAAAAAAATCAGAAAGAAAAGCAGAAGTGAAAAGTGAGGAGAGAAGATGAAGTTGGTTATGAAAAGTTGATTTGTTGTTCTGCAAATTCAACTGTGGTCTCTGCAGCAGCATGGATTTCATAGGCTTGAATAATTTCTAGTTTAGTCAAATTACTGAAAAAGGAGAACTTGTATCTCATTGATTACAATCAGACATGAATTCCTCACGGTACCAAAACCCAAACCTGAGTTACGAGAGTGTCACTGTCTCTGTTTGCTGATGAATTGTTAGTGAACTTTCAAAAACTGTAGTTTAAAGGGATAATTCAGAATTTTTTAAGTGAGGTTTCTTTAAAAGATTAAGTAGTTCATCTTTTAACTAGCAGTTGACGCTGCCATTTTAAATGCTGACTTCTTAAATTTACAGGCTAGGAGCACATCTAGTCTGAGGGAAGAAAAAACTGTCTTAAAACAAATCCTAGTCTTAAATGTCATAGCAGTTTAATAAGGAAACAGTGTTTGATGAACTCTTAAACCATTGACATGTTTATATTATTTACCCGGAAGTCAATGATTATTTAGGTGAGAAATTGAAATTGGAGGCAGTGCACCTCTGCTATCTTCCTGTGTAAAAACACAGGTACAACATATAAAGCATTTCCATATACGGGTATAGGAAAGTGACATACAGAAAAGATTTTATCATCACTAATAATAGTTAGTAATGCCTTAAAGGTGTAGCATGATATTTTTCTAAATTATGACGCTGCCAACAAAAGGACCGCAGAAATTCATCAGCCTTTTGGCTATGAATCTATTACTGCACACAGTAAGAGATTCACAAAATACTGCTCTAAGAAAGAAACTTACCCATATGCACCCATTTTGCCCAACATTGGAAACAGACATTTTTTTTTTTTACTTCATCTTTTTAAATCGACTGATCAGTGAACCAAAGGTGTGTAGTTTGATGCATTTAAAAAAAAAAAAAAACTAAATAAAATCAGGACAGATTAAATTGTCCTGATTTATAGATTTACAGATAAATATTGCCTCTATCTGAAAACCTGCAGCAAATATTGTTGCAATTAGTTTCTCGTTTTGCTTACAAAAACAAATGTTAATTCACCACCCTTAGCAGATTAGGAATAAACGATTATAAAGTCATTTATTGCTGTTAATTGATTATTTTGTGCGCCATGTCAGAGCACAATTGCAAAAATGAAGGGAGTTGTAGCATAGTGCACTATTTGGAAAGCAGCATTTGTTTTTACATATTAGTTAATACAAAAAGAGGAAATCATTTTGTACTTTGGAAAGAACCACAAACAGGTTACAGAAACGAGTTGTGTTAAATGGAAATTATAAATGCTTAACCCTAAAATGATTCCCAAAACTACTACAAACAACCACAGAAGTAGTAAAATATATAAACTGTGACTGTGCTTCGGTGCCTACTACTTGTACAGAAAGTGAAACTGAGTGTAGTGATTTCTGCTGCCACCACTCACCTATTCTGAGGAAGACCACCACGCTGAACATTGACAGCAGAGTGGGGACCACCACACCGAAGAACACCGACAGCTTCTTGGGCTGCCGCTGCGGGGAGGACCCGTGCCGTGGGCTTCCCGGGAGCTCCTCTGGGGCCAGGCTGGCAGGAGCAGACCGCAGCTCGGACTCATTGACGCTGGCGACGAGGCGGTAGTTCAGGAGAGGAGTCCGCTCCGTCATTGCGAGCAAAACCAAATGCTCGCTTTAGGGCGACTCGAACTTTAAAAAGTAACCCGGGTAAATTTAGGGACGCACAAATCGCTGTATTTTGTCAGGACAACTCAAGAGTTTGTAAATAAATGCTTGCGATGGATAAAGAAAAAAGAAAAAAGCTGTAGTATTGGCGCGTCCAGATTGTCAGCCGCTTCAGATGCAAGTTCAGTAGCTACATAGCAAAACAGACAAGTGCTTCGGTCAATAAGTTAAAAAACATTGAACGTGTTTGACCTCCTCACTGATCCACAAACTTCCATCGTTTATCAATAAAATGTTAGATAAAAACCCCGGCAGGACACCTGCGCGTGGCCATTGCAGTTCTGTGTTATTTCTCTGATTTCGCGGAGAGTATCATGTGATGCCGCAACGTCAATGCGTGCCTCTGCTGCAAACTTCCGTTTTGCCCTTTCACAATAAAAGCAATTACGATTTAGTGCAACTTTTTTCATAAAAGCAAAACAATTTATCACCTGACATACATACATCTGTCAGGCACAGCATTATGAACATTAACAAGTGATGTCAAAAACACTGTTTAGTTCTTCACAATAGTATCTAATGATGAATTAGATTCGACTGAACATCCTGTCAGTACATACTGTATATTAGAAGCAGGAAATATGTGCAAGTACCTCAGGATACATCTGAGGTATCCTGAGGTACTTGGGGAAATTTGTTGGAATTTCCCCCCAGATTCCAACAAAATGCTGCAAACTGCTAAACAAAAAAAAAATGCAATGTCTATTTATACACTACACACTTCTGTTTTTCCAAGGGTTGTGGGCAAATTATTTTGTTACTATTCTTTTGCAATCTGGGTGTGGCAGTTTTTTCACACTATTCCCTGACTGTTGTGGGATCCTTCAGCAGGACTATGTGCCATCCCTTTTAGGAATGAACAGAATCTAGTGTGAGTTGTTATCTTGGCTTGTAGATTCCCAAGACCTTAATCCAATATAACTTCTCTGGGATCAGCTGGATCAGAGCACTCCACTTTCCAAACCAAAATGGTCTGCTGCTGACCTCTTGATGCTAGATAAAAACACATATCCAAATGTCTTGTGGGGTCTGTGCTTCAGTAGTATTTATCTAAATTGCACCTGTCACAGATATTAAAATCACAAAGTGCTTCACAAATATAACTATAATCCACAGTTGATGAAGAGGAGGGGTGGGAAGAGGGCAATTATTTTATAAAACTTTGCAAAACAAAAAAATAGTAACGAGTTTACAAGAGCCATGTATGGTTATAGCTTATTTTATTTTGTTAAATGCAAAACTTCCTGTTTTATTCTATCTAACTTTACTTTCGTACTTGCCACTCGGGTTTTCCTGAGATTTCCTGCTTTCACATTTTCCAGCTTGTTGCTTTCGGTCATATGATGAAGTTAGTCGGGCCAATAGGAGGGTTACATTGCTGAACGCACTTGCTGACACTTTTTTAAATATCAAAATAAAAGTCCACATTGATTTCTCTTTTTAATTTCTAAAGCTTTTATTTTTGAAAAAATCGCGTTCTTTCAACGCTAATAATGAAAGTGATGATCCAAGTGATACAGAAGAATGGTACATGTCCGTGATACAGAAGAATGGTACATGTCCAGTTCAAATAGTCCAAAGTCCTCGTCAGTAAATAAATAACACATAAATCTGTACGTGTTTGTGAAACACAGCCTTTTAACGTTTGCAAGCCGTACACGCTCAGCTGCATTTCACATTATTTTAGGATTGATTCCAAAGTAAAACGGATAAATTATTTTCATATCCAGGCATGTTGTTGACCGTTTCCCCATGATTTAAGTTATAATACATTCGGCTTATATGTACAGATACAGAATAAATGTTTTTGTTCACATTTTGCAGCTATATACTTCACATTTGACTTTCACCTCGTTATGAACTTTGAGAAAACATTCCCTTTTACACTTTAAACTGCATATTACATTGATCATTTGAAGATTAAAATAATTTGTGTTCTTAAAAAAACATAAGATCTTCATCAGAGTGCAATTTATGTGATTAAATGCCAACCCTTTTGCAAACGGTGATGAAGATGATGAATATTTTGAGTCTAAATCTGACCACTTGCACTTCTCATCTAGCACCTACAGAGGGCGCTACCCTCTCAGTTTGATTACAATAGCTTTAAACTACAAGGTTAAAAGGCTCTGCAAAAGCACATTCAGAAAGGTTTGATCATTTGTCTAAACCAGTCACAGTTTAAGGGGGGATCACATAATAAACTAAGAGAACCATAATCCTTTCAGATTAGTTTCCATGAGACGGAGGCCACACTAACAACCTATAAGTGAAAGTTTGGCTGCACTATGAGCTGATTGTGCAATATATGGTTAGAGTAAATATTGAAGCTGGTTTAAGGATCAGACACACTACTGTAGCTTCAGGGCAGCCCGTCAGTCTAAATTCAGTCTTGAATTCTAAAACAATAGTATGTTTGTCTTTCGCACCTCATAGAAACCACAGTGAGTCGTAGCTCTGGGACCCTGCTCTTCTGAGCCAATGTATATACACATGTTCTACGGTTGTTATCGTACATTTACTCGTGACAAGACAAGACAGGAGGATTTTACCTATATTTCTGAGAAAACTGAGCATATTGGGGTAAATGAGGAACTGTATTTGTGAATTTGTAAGCAGTGTTTAAAAAATAATTCAGTTCAAGTAAAAAAAAAAAATATGAAAAGTGCAATCTGTGGAGGTCATAATAGCAAAAAGATTTCAATGTGTTGTGTGTATTTTCAAATGTTTTATGAATGTAATTAAACTGTACTTTTGATAGACCCCCTCTTCACTGTAGAATTATAAAGTTTAACCAAAGATAAACAAATCCATTAAATATTCCTTAAACTGTAAGAAGTACTCCCACAGTTTAGCACTAATAGGAACATGCAAATTAAGTATAAACTTTAAAGTCATTGTCGAGTTGGGGTTTAAGGCTTAGCAGGCTTACACTATTCAATACAGGGGGCAACTATAACCCACTCTCTCACAAATGAACAATACAAAACTTGTTCAGGTCAAAACTGACAGGTCTTTTTTTTTTTGTGACGCTCCCAATGCGATGCCGCCCTTATTGGTGAGCCATAGCATCCATATTAAAAGCTAATGTCACATTAAACAGGGTGTGAACAGCTACTTTTGTCTATAGGGATACTTGTAATGGGCATTTCACGTTTTACTGTTCCCATTGCTGTTTAATGTAGGAAAAGTTTGTGGAACTCAACTAGTTCTAACATTTTGATATCTTGCATTAATTTCACATTTCCTGCAACATAATTTAATTCAGTTTTTGAATGCTAAAATATTGCTGTTCTAAGACATTTCAGTGAACATATTATTTCAATATTTGAGTAGAAAATCTAACATGATGTGCTGTCATTCATGGTTTATGTTAGCTTATAGCTGCTACATCTGCAGCTGTAAGCTACAGATATAGCTTAGGAAAGCCCACTTATCCGCAAACTTGTGACTGGAATGCAATAGCTCATTCATAACTGAACCACACACATGAAATGAAATGAAAAATAAAAGTCTGTGCGTCCCTCATTTGCTCTGTTGCAAATATTAGCATGGTATTATATAAAATAAATTCTGAAATTGCATTTCCTAGATTATTTCTGGTGGAACATTCAGGATTTGTAGTTGCTGCCAAATGGAAGTTCGTCACATATTGTTGAGATCCAGCAAATCATTCTGGCTCCAAAAAAAACCAGCACCCTCAATCCCAAATGTAGAAACCAATGCTGTGAAACAGCAATCCATAGAAGAGCATCTGATGTCCCAATAAATATGTATGTCCTCATTATGCTGCCTATGATTCAGTTCTGCTAACTTGGTTTTGTAGTTCTTCGTCGTTGACTGCAGCTTGATTCCTATAGGTCCATTCCAAGTGCTTTTGCATCTTTGTCACCATGACGCATCCTCTGGCTTCAACTCTGTGTCGAATCTGGTCCGAGGTAACACAGTTATACAATTAGGGTCCTTTTGGCTCAAGTTGCCTTACACTCCTTTTCTTGTTATGGCTGCACTCAGCAACATCTTTCAGCTTCTTTTTGACTAGTGTGCTGTATTGGTCCCAGATTTCACTAAGTTTCTGTGTTTTGTCCCATGTTTGAGGCAAAGCTGGAGTAGGCAAAGGGCCACATTTCTGTAAGAAAGCAACACATAAGATGTTACTATATAGCACATGTTCAAACAGCTTATAGTTTTATTCTAAGATAATGCAAATTAATAACATGAGAAAATGAATGTATTTCATTATACCAGTATTTATTCTCTACTTGTTATGTGTTTTTCTTTGTAGTTGTAAAGGAAAGTTAAGCTTTCATGCAACAAAAAAAATGCATCAAAATGCCACTTCTAGTGATGTAGAGGTTTGTTTCACAATTATCGGCTGTTTCACAATTTTAGCATCAGGTTTCTATTCCTTTGCCAGCAGCACCTGTTCAAATAGAGCAAACAATAGTACAGCTAATGCTATGTTCTTCAAAGCAATGCTAGAATATTTTGTCTGTGTTAAACACTCCTCTTGTATCCTCAAATCTGGTAACATTATGTTACCAGATTTTACGAAACGCATCACTGTGCCAGTACTAAGATGAAGACATAGCAGCTCAAAGCATTTAAGGATAACAGAAAATCAGGTTTTCCTTGCTGTTGTCGAGTCCAAAGAAGAAGCTTAAATGATGAATCACCAACGAAGAAGGTGTTTTAAAACATATCATTATCCACTTGTGGTCTTTGGATCAGTTTATGAATTCTTTACCAATGATGCAGTGGTAGGAAAGGTTGGGCAATAACTGCTCTATCAAGTGATTCATGAACAATGAGTTTTGAGTACATAGGTACTTTGAATGCAGCTTAAGATGTTGCTCTGTTGTTTACAGACACAGTACTTTCATTCAGAGTTATGCGTCATGGTAATCAATATTACTCATGATTTTCTTTGGACTTTAAAGAAAGTTGTTTTTCTTTAACTCAGAAACTACTAAAGGATTTATATTTCCAATGATTTTCTCTTTTTGAATATTGCGAAAGTCTAGAACAGAGTCTTGTACAGGTATTCGTATCCTTTGAACCTTTTTACATTTTGTCACATTATAGACTTCAATCTATGTTGTTGATATTTTATGTGAAAGACCAACACAAAGTGCTACATTTCTGTCAAAGGGAAAGAAGATGATCTATGCTTTTTTTGAGTCTTTGTGATTATTTCAGATAAATATAAATCTGCTTTTCTAGTATGGATGTGAGTACAAATTCACATCCATACTTTTCAGGTTTTTATTTAACAAAAAAAGGCACAATTCCTAGAAGCATAACTAATAAAAGTAGCATAATTACGTCCTCATCTTGTCACAATTGCCTTTGACTTTTCATATAAAATCCTTATGAATTTCTTAGAAGCTAGTGGTTGTGACATGGCAAAATGTGAGACAAATTCAAGGTATGCCCATATATTGCTGAAATCTTTCACAAAATATATGTTCATAGAATGGCAAGATGTTATGAGCTGTACCTGTGATTGCTCTTTGAGAATCATCACATACTGCGTAATACTGTGAGCAAAATTATTCAGGAAATTCTCACACTCCGCGCTGGTTTGATTACGAAGATGTTTGATGGTTTCTTGGAATGCCTGGAAGTTCTGCAGCACGTCAGACAATTTTTCCTGAAACTAGACAAACAAATGTACATACAACTGTCACAATGCCGCAACACAATCAGTAATTTACAAAGTTTTCAGGTTTTGTTTCACATGTTCTTATTCTGAACTGTGCAGGGTGAACCCCATGATTCACCCAATGACAACCGGATATAGACACCAACGCTGTTCACTGTATAAATTAGCAGGCAAGCACAGATGTGCAAGCAAGCATTGATAAACCCAACAAATCTTCAAATGGGAGAAAATGTGAACTTTTTCCTCAATAAATAATGGAACAATTCTAATATAAGCTAAAAGAACAAGGGCAAATTCTGATCTCCCTGCATGGCTACACAGTTGAAATGCTGTTTACCTGTAGTCTGATACCACAAAATCGGGAAACAATTATCATATCTCACCAACCAACAGTGCGTGAACTGATTACAACTTCTGATTTACTCCCTACGTTGGCAGCCTCCACCGCACTTTTGTCTGCCAGCTTATGTTCTGCCTCAGTTGTTCATGCTACGCTTGGTTTCTTTATTAAGAACCTAATTTATGACTCATTTGAACTTCAGCTCAACTTAACACCATGTATGATTGAAACGTTTTTCTTCCTTGTTTTATTGACGTTTGGTATTAGAATTTTGTTCCTGCAAAATTCTAGTATATAATTATAAGATGCAAAATTGAAGCGGACAAAATATAAAGGAAATAGAGAAGGCATAACATCATGGCAACCATCCTGATAGTTTCCACAAGACTTCTGAAATTGTGACACAGTAACTTCCAACAAAACGGACGTTTTACGTGAAGCAGGCTTGTTTGTTCAGCACATGGTGTGTAGAAATTTCCAAGGAAGTATTATAAGCAAAACAAACATCCAAATGGAGGGAAGGCCTCAAGATAGTCCAGCAAAACATTGTCCCAAACTTCACACCACCTCTACAGTTTTCCCCTCTTCTGATTCTGCGCCCAGACAAGTGGCACACGTGCACCCAGTCATCCGTGTGATGTTAGATTCATCAGATCATAATACACCATTCATTTTTGATCCAGTTCAGATCTTTGCATGATCTGATATATTCCATACCTACTACTAAGTGGTTTATGATGTTATGCCTGATGAGTGCCCATTATTGATTAACTGGTGTTGCTTGTAGCTTAACCAAAACTGTTTTTCAACATATTTGGTACTCAACGCTGGTAATTTTGGGGTCATTAACCAATGTTCTAAATGGCAGCATTTTTCTATAAAGCCACGGTAACTTTGTTTTAGTCGTGTCATTTCATTTCTGTGATGTCAAAGAAGAGTGACAAGAAAACAAATGAACAACATCTATGTTGTGCCCTCCCCACAACTAAAAATAGACTCAAAAGTGTAAGAACATGTGGCAAATATGATGTCATGAAGACTACTAAAAGTGATAGTTGTCAAGGTTCAGCACCTGTTAACAGAGTGACTATCTTTCCAAACAATAGCATGGACAAATGAACTGGTTTGTTGTGCCACTTTGATTTAAATGGAGAAACTTAAATTGTTGACCCATGAATTCATATTTGACCTAAACTTTGACCTAATTTTCACCAGTTGTAAATTCCTGTATGTAACATGTAAAGAAAAGTTATATATAAGGAACTTAATATGAATAGAAACAAAATGTAGTTTTCTAATGAATATTTTATTTACTGGAAGATTCCTTGGCTGCTCTATTTTGTATTTTTTGGCTCTTATTGTGGTGTCGCTATCCCAAAGTCTGAGAAAAAAACATATATATATATATATATAT